AGTCACTCACCACGCCGTGAGTCAGCAGAGGGACAGGGACGGGAACTGCGGCCGGACTTGCTGCCCCATCAGCCCCGCTCCTCCCCGAACGGATCCTGTTCCCCTAAGGCAGAAACGGGCTGGGAGAAGAGGGCACGGCCGGCTTGTCTGAGTGGCAGGAGCTGGCAGCGCTGGCATCGCACACGGCACAATTTACCGCTGCCCCCGCCTTTCCACAGGATCCCCCGGGAGGAAGAGCGGGGTGGGCTGGGGGTGCTGGATGAGGGGAAGGGACCGGAGGGAGACTTCGGCGCGGCAGAGCTGCATGTGCTGCATGAAAGCAGCTGTGTGCCGGGAGGAAGCCCTGCAAGCACTCACGGAGAGCAGCCCTGGTCCGCGGCTCCCTGATGGGCCATAAATTTCTCCTAAGAATTGTGGCGTGCTAAAAAGTTTCCTCTTGTTAGATAGCAGGGGGTGGAGGGAGGAGGTAGCAGCTCCTGCGGCAGCCCCTGGAGCAATGTGGACATTTCAGAGTGCCCCCAAAAGGGTGTCCATGGCAGGGACTGTCTGCCCAAACCCTGTGTGCCCCCACTGCTGGGCATCTCACATGAATTCTGTTTGCCCCACTCTCCCAGGCTTGTGCCCCTCATCCCTTGGATAAGAGGCAGCTCACCAGAGCTGGGAATTCCACAAAGTGGAAGGTGATTCTGCACCTCTGGAAGTCATGGAGCCTTTTTCCAGCTGGGAAGCCTGCTGCAGGATCTGCTTTTCCAGCTTACCATCCCCTGCAAACAGTGCCAAAGGTCCCCAGGGTGTCCTGACATCATCCCCAGGGTTCTCTGGCAATGGAGCTGTGTCCAAGGTGCTGCGTGAGCATCATGGGCTGACTGGTGCATCCATGGGGCTGGCATGGTGTGGGCAGTGGGAGCTGGTTCCCAGCAGGGGCTGCTGGTGCCACAACCCACCAGCTGGCACAGGAACGGGTCTCTCCAGAGCCCTGCATTGCCTCCATCTATCCGTCCTCCACCTGTCCCCCTTCCCTCTGCCTGACCCGCGGGGTCTCTGGTGTCGCCGGCTGACAGCCGATCCGGCTGCCTCCAATCCATTCGTTCCAGGGCAGGAACAAAGGCGCTTTGTGGGCTGCCCCCAGCCCGGGCGGGGTGGGGAGGGGTCCCAGCTCCGGAACTGGGACAGACTTCCCCGCGCGACAGGCGTGTAATGCCTTCCAGACCAGCAGCCCTCAGGTACAGCCCGGGGAGCAGGGGGGGCTGGTGCTTCCCACACTGCCTGGGGACCCACCAGCTCACCCTGATACAGCCCTGATCCAGGAAAATGGGGAAACTCTCCTGTTCCCCCAAATGTTTCACAGCGCCCAGTCCCCATGGCACTCACTGCTCCTCCCCACCCAGGGGCTCCAGAGGCTCACAGATTTGCCATCTCTGGTCTGCCAGTGCTGGGGAGCAGGGATAGACTCCCCTGGCATGAGATCCCTGCCTCGCTGGGCTCAGCTGGACTCAGACACTGTGTGTGCCCAGCTGGGCAGGACTGTGCATTTGGGATGGGGCAGTTCCCCAGCCTGTGGCCTCACTGGCCTGAGCACCCTGAAACTGGGGAGCCACAGGCAGAGGGGCCAGTCCTGGACATCCCCCAGTGCCAAGGTCTGGTCAGGGGCTGTGGATTTGGGGCACTGAGTAGGGTGGGATGGGGTAGGAGGGTGTGGATAGGTTGTGGTGGGATAGGATGGGACAGGATAGGATAAGGTGGGATGGGATGGGATGGGGTGGGGTGGGGTGATGTGGAGTTGAATGGATCAGTCCAGCATTGCTTCACCAGGGCTCAACAGGGTCAGGCCCAGTGTCCTGGTGGCCACATGTTCCAGCACTGCCGCGGGTCTGGAATCCATTTGCCTCACCGGCCGTGGTGTTTTCCCAGCAGGGCTGGAGCATTCCCGTGGGGCCAGGGGCAGCCCTGGCCCCTGCCCCATCTGCTCCCTGTTTATTTTCTTACACTTAAGTATCACCTCGAAGATAAACACTCCCTGGTGTGGGGGGCAGGGGGCATTTCCCTGGCAGCAGAGGCAGGACCCAGCCCTCAGGGTGCCCAGCACCCCGACCCCACAATCCTGCCAAGCAGGAGATGCCTGGTTGGACTGGGCTCAGGGCTGCAACCCCATGCTCAGGCCATGTCCCCTCCATGCTGTATGTCTCATGCAGGGTCCCATGAGTGCCTGAGCCACTGCCTGGTGCTACCCTCTGCCCAGGGGTCAGCTGGATCAGCTGGGAGAGCTGTGATGCCAAACCACACCACGTCCTGGCACCCACCCAAGCCAGCAGAAGGTTTGTGATGCCACAGCCTCAACTGCACCCCGCACTGCCCAGCTGAGTCAGAGCCCAGGCCACAGTGCTGGGGGAGCTGGGGGGGCCCAGGCACAGGGGCTCATGTCCTGTGCCAGGGGCTGGACAGGCAGGGAGCCGGCAGCGTTCCCTGCTTCCCATGGCTCCTGCTGCTCTCCCCGTCAGGGATGACAGCTCCTGTCCATCCATCCTTCTGTGTGCAGCATCTGGCGAGGCGGTGGTCACACATACACAGCTCTGTGCCAGCACAGAGGGGTCACTGCAGCAGGAGGTGGTGGCATTCGGGGTTTGTATGGCACCCACAGGCACACATCCACTTCCACGTGCCACTGCACAAACATGTGCACGCAGCCCCACACTCACACATATCCCTGTGCACACACACACACACGGATATACACACCCATGCATGCTTGGATGTACAGATGTGTGCAGCTGCACACCCACACACTCACTCATGTGTGCACATGTGTGTGCTGTCCCCACCCCACACTGAACCATCTCCTGTCTGCTGCTCCTTCCCTGCCTGTGCCCTGCCATGTTCCAGATCCCACAGGCCACCAGCACCCCACACGTGGCCGTGCCCCCCAGAAAAGCCCGGGGGCAGTTTGGCTGGGTGTGGGGACTGGGTGACCCCCCCAGCCTGTCCTGGTCAGCTGGTGGCCATGTGTGGGACGTGCAGCTGAGTACACAGCCCCTGCCATCCGTCTTACCACCTGTCAGGGCCAGGGGCTGCTGTGGACCCCCAGCCATGGCTCAGCAAGACTCTGGGCTGAGAGGGGGGCAGAGTGGGTGTTCCCCTCTCTGTACAGACATCTGCCTGTTCCCTGCCTGCTCCCTACCTGTCATGCCAAGGGCCTGCCCATCCCCAGCTTTGCCCCTGGCACTGCTGGCACGTACCCTTTTGTGGGGTCTGCACTTGGGCAAATGCTACAGAAGAAGGTCGGGGTCCCTCATGGGGACTGATGCATGGTGAGAGCTGCCAGTGTGGACACAGTGCAGACCTCTGCCCATTTTCATCCCCAGGAGGATCCCTGTCCTCTTGCTCAGCCCTGCATGTCCCCAGCTCCTGGTGTGGCCCTGCATGTCCCCTGCTCCAGTGGGACCCCTGGCCCTTGGTGCAGCCCTACATGTCCCCAGCCCCAGCAAGACCACCAGCCCCCAGCCCATCTCTCTGCCCCCCACTGCGTGATTTACAGGCTCTGCACAGGCAGACAAATGGTGAAGGAAAACAGGGCAGGGGTTCCCGCCAGCCGGGGACTGCCTGTGCCCCGCGGGGGGCAGAGGGGCCGTTTGCTCACAGCCAGCAGGATGGGAGGCACTGAAGTGGTGCCTGTGCCAGGCAGCACAGCTGCCCCTGTCATGGTCCAGTGGCCACAAGCCCTGGAAGCACTAGGAGACCTCATGGAGGTCCCAGACCCCAAGAGCCATACCACAAGCGACAGTCCTGCAACCATATCCTTTTGCCCATGGGGCACTGAGGAAGATGATGCCACCCCATTGCATGACCCCCAGGGCACCCCACTGACCACCTCACTGGGGTTTGTGATATGCCAGCTGCATTCCGTGGCCACTGTCTCAGCGCTGGTAAACCTCCAAGATTTCCCCCAGCATCCCTCTCTGGCTGTGGAGCTTCTGGACAGTGGGGATTGCAGCTGGGCCGTCCACCAGGAGCCAGGTCCTGCCCTCCACACGTTTTTGCCTCTTGACCTGCATCGTGCCTGGAGCATCGTGGAGGAGGAGGAAGGGGAGGAAGGCAGGCAGGAAGCCTCCTGCCTGCTTGGTTCAGCTGGCTACCCCCCTGCCTGCTCCCGGGAGCGTTGGGCTCAGGGCTGGGGGGTTGAAGGCAGAGTGGGACCCACATTGACCTCGCTGGTGAGGAGGAGCAGGGCCATAGTCTGTGGTATTGAGCGCCAAGGAATGCCAAGGCACCCCCAGCCCTTCCCAGGACACCGGTGATTCCTGCTGCTGCCAGCTCATAGCTCCCCTCTCAGGAAAAGACTCCGTGTTTCCACTGCCGGCACACACCTTCCTCCTGGGCGGGAGGAAATGCTCCTGGCAGCGCTGCCGGCAGCACTGCCCGTGCCTCTCCATGTCTCCCTGTCACCTCCCGTGGCGGGCAGGCACCGGGAACAGAGGAGCACGGAGTGCATCCCTGCGGGGCTGCCTGCTCTTGCTGCTCCCTGGCTGCTCCGGGCATCCTCCTGGGCACAGAGCCTGTCCCAGTGGGGCATAGCAGGGCGTGGGCATGTCCCCCACTTGCATTCCTCTGATAAATACCCCAGGTACCGCAGTGGTTGCCTTCCCCATCCCGGCTCCTGCACCCCAGGCTGATCTCATGCCACCCCGTGCGGGACCCAGAGCTGGCAAGCGACAGCCAGGCAGGGGCTGGGGACACACCGTGTGTGACATTGCTCTGCAGGTGCCAGCGGCCACGGCACAGGGAGCACTTGTCGGACAGCAGCCCTGGCACTGCCACGCTTCATTTACACCGCGGGCACGACCTGGGCTCAAGGTGCCCGCAGCCAGAGCAGCGTGCGGAGTGGGGCCAGGCCGGTGACCCAAGCCAGCGCTGGCTCTGAGCGCTGGGGTGAGGCTCTCCGCTAGCTCGGGGGGCCGGCTGGGGGTGGGCTCCGGAGCCAGCCCCTCCCCGGCCGTATAAATGCCGGTTCCCCCTGCACACAGCCGTCCCAGCCCTGCCCTGCTCGGCTGCCGCGGCGGGCAGCGCCCGGAGCGGGGTCGCGGCGGTAGCGGCGGGGGAAGGCTCCCCCAGGCCGGGGTGCCCCCAGCGGGGCCGGGGGTGCGGCGGGCACCCCACCATGGCCTTCACCATGCTGCGCCCCGTGGCTGCCCGCGTGCTGTACCCCGACCTCAGCATGCTGTCGGAGGATGAGGAGAACCGCAGCGAGAGCGACACGTCGGACCAGTCGTTCGGCTGCTGCGAGGGCGCCGAGGCTCGCCGCAAGCTGCCGCGGAAACCGGGCCCGATGGTGATGGTGAAGCAGAGGCAGGCGGCCAACGCGCGGGAGCGGGACCGGACCCAGAGCGTCAACACGGCCTTCACCGCCCTGCGGACCCTCATCCCCACCGAGCCCGTGGATCGGAAGCTGTCCAAGATCGAGACACTCCGCCTGGCCTCCAGCTACATCTCCCACCTGGCCAACGTGCTGCTGCTGGGCGAGGGCTGCGAGGACGGGCAGCCCTGTTTCAGTGCCATCTATGGTGCCAAGGGCGACCTGGACGGCAAACAGCCCCGCAGCATCTGCACCTTCTGCCTCAGCAACCAGCGGAAAGGGGTGAGCGGGGTTCTGGGATGGGTTAGAGTTCTTCCTCCTCTTACTGGCCTGAGCGGGGCAGGAGGTTCAGCATGTACCCAAGGGATGGGGGGAAGCAGCCCCTGCCTGGGCTGCATGGGGCAGGAGACTTGGCATGGCTCAGTGAGAACCACAGCTTCTGGCTCCAGCTCCCACTGGAGGTTTTGGCTGCTCCTGGCCAAATCCTGCTTGTAGCCACACGCCTACAGCTCCTGCTCACGTCAGAGGGCTGGGCTGCTCCCCCACGTCCATCCGGGCTGGGAGGTCTCAGGGGTTAAACAGTCACCCCGGAGCTGGCAGCATTGGTTGTCCCAGTGGGGCTTAGAGTTCGCTGGCTGACCCCTTCTCCATCCCCATCCTCATCCCCATCTCCATACCCAACCCTGCCAGCCCACCAGCATTGCAGCAGGGCTACTTCAGCAGCTCTCTGATGTGATGAGGAAGGAAGAGCCCAGCAGACACCCCCTGAGGGGGCCCAGAGTTCCCCATCCAGTGTTGCCATGCAAGGTCTGCTGGCAGCACTGGCACAGCTCCCACATGGCTGAGCTAGGCCATGGCACCTCACACCTTTCACCAGGGTGGTGAGCCCACCAGGAATAGCTGTGCAGGATATGGGGTGCAGGGTGAGGGGCTGGGAGCTGCCCAACCTCTTGGACATCCCTTGGCAGGGCTGTGAGCAGGGGCTGCTGTCCTTGCCGCTGTCCCCACAGACCCTCAAGATGTCCCATGTGTGACTCCAGGCAGTACAGCCATGGGTCACACTCCAGCCCTCAGAGCTTTTTCACATTTTGCTGCTCCATTTTAATTTCTTCTTTGCTCCTGCTACTCTTCTCAGCAGCCTCTCCAGCCCTCCTGGGGTCCTCCAGGCCTGGTCCCTGGCAGAGCTGGGATCCTCTGGGCTGCTTCCTGGGGCTGGAGCCAGGGGTCTGGCACAGTGCTGGATCCCCCAGGGGACCCTGTGGAGGCACTGGGGCTGGGAAGCTCCTGCTGGAGAGCAAGGGGGGAAGCTGGGTTGGGATCTGACTCTGCATCCCAGCCCTGAGGCTGGAAAGGGGCTGTACAGGGCTGGAAATGGGCAGGGCTGGAAAGGGGTTGTACTGTGGTGGAAATGGTCTGGAAATGGGCTGTACTGGACCGTGCTTGGCTGGAAATAGGTTGGGTTGGAACTGGGCTCTGTTGGGCTCTGCTGATCCATGCTGAGTTATACTGGGCTAAATCTGGACCATGCTGGTCTGTGCAGGGTTATACTGGGCAGTACTGGGCTGGTGTTGCTCTCACAAACTGTGAGGTAGGGCTGAGTCTCCCCATCCCAGTTTGGACTCTGTCTTTCCAGGGCTGTGGGTCTGTCTAGGGTGATGTGTCTGTCCTGGGGTGCTACTGACCCTTGCTGCAGGTCTGAGCCCTGCTGTGCTGAGCAGCCATGGGGGCTGTGTCCTGCAGGGTGACAAGGCCAAGGGGGACCCACCTGGGGCTCCAGCACAGCACCCACCTCCCAGCCACACGCCCAACCACTTGCCAGGCATAGCCCCATCTGTCTGTGTGTCCACTCCAGGCAGCACAGAGCCACCCCAGGACTGAGCCACTGCCCATCTCACAGTGGGGCCCATGGAGGAGCTGGAGTGGTGGACAGTGGGCAGGAGCGGGGTGCCCCCCACCCAGACACCCCATGGTGCCTGCAGCTCTCCCTCTCTCTGCAGGGCAGCCGGAGGGACCTCGGGGGCAACTGCCTGAAGGTGCGAGGGGTGACGCCCCTGCGAGTGTCGCGGAGATGAGCTGGGCCCGGCAGCACCCACCTGAGACAGCGGCAGAGGCAGACGGAGCCCGCACACGCCAGCCCAGAGACCGCAGCGGGGAGGGAGGGAGCTGCTCACCTGAGGCGGCAGCGCCGAGCCCAGGCTGGCACCACACCGCCATGGCCCTGGAGCCGGCAGTGGGGCGGGAGGACGCTCCCGTGGCCGAGGCTGCCCACGCGGGGCAGGGCCGGGGAGGGGGGTCCCCGCGCCCCGGGGCTGGACTGGAAGGGGCCTGTGTGCGGCCGGCGTCGAGGCGCTCCGGGGGGACAGTGTCGTGGCCCTGGGGATGCTGGTTGTGCACGTGCAGCTGCTTGGAAAATAAAATCTTATTTTTCTGATGGGCCAGTGCCTGCCTGTCACCCCTGTGTGGGGTGAGGTGGGGGTCCCCAAGATGGCTCTGGACCCCCAGCCCTGCACTGCTGCTCTGTGCCGCTGGAACCAGCGTGACCATCCCAGCCCTACCCACAGTGTCACCATCCCAGCCTGTGCCACAGTGGGATCCACATGGGTAAGAGTCCTGGGTGAGCTGTCCCTGTGTCCTCAGGCCCCCATGACAGCTTTTACCCCACAAAGGCTGCAGAAGTGCCAAGGGGTCAGTGCCATGCCATGGGAGGGGGATGGCACTGCCAGCCCCACGCTGCAGCCAAGGTGCCCCAGTGGTGGGTCGGGGTTGATGTAACTGCTTTGGTGCCCTGCCCTCCTTCTGGTACATCCAGATTGGGGTAATATCACTGCCACTGCAACTGCCACCATTGTCACCGCTGCCACCAACACTGTGACTGCCACCAGCACAATGACTGTCCCCACTGTGACTGCCACTGTGCTATTGCCACTACAATGACCATGCAGAGCCTTGCATGGTGGGGCTGCAAGGCAGCAGCACCTGCATGGGGTCAGGTGGGGACATGGGGGTTCCCAGGCCAGATCCCCACATGGGATTCTGTTTGGCTGGCTGGCCGGTGCAGAGAGCTGAGCCTGGGAATGGTGCTGTGCCGGGGCTGGCGGCTCCCAGGGGCCAGCGTGTCCCACGGAGCAGAGGCAGCTGTGGATGGGGCGGCTGGGGGCTCCCCCCAAGGGCTGAAGAACTGGAGCTGCCCTATCTCCCAAGGGTCCTGGAGCCGACATGGAGCAGGGGGAGCATGCTGGGGGTCCCGCTGGAGCCTGCCCCGGGCAGGGGCTCTGCTGGGAGCCCACAGCACCTCTTGGCCCCCTGCTCACCGAGGTGAGCCTGCCCCGGGCTCCCTCCCCCGGGTTTGATTTATGGAGCTGACAGCGCGGTGCAGCTGTGAGAGCTGGTCCCAAGCAGGGACCGGGGTGGGTGGGAGAAGTTTGTTCTCAGCGTGGCTAATGTGTCCCAGACCCCAATAAACAGCCGTGAGATTCTCCAAACAGCCCAGGACACAGAATCCCTGCCCCTGGGTTTATCAGGGGGCAGGGGCCGGGGGGGATGCTGTGCTCTGCAAACAACCCAACCCGCACATAAAAGGGGACCGGCCTCGTGAAGTAGCGGCTCTGGAGCCCCCAGGGGGCCAGCGAGGGCTGGTGGTCCCAGTGCTGGGGGCACAGCAGGTCCCAGCACTGAGTGTATAGGTCCCAGTACATCCCAGTGCCAGCAACTGGAGCCTCAACAAGCTCCAGGATGAAGGCCATGAGCCCCAGTGAACCCCTGCACAGGAACTGTGCATCCAGCGTGTCCCACTGCCAGAGACTGGAGCTCTAGAAAGCTCCAGTATAAAGGCCATGCATCCCAGTACATCCCAGTGCTGAGGCTGTGGGATTCAGCATGTCCCAGCGCTAGGGCCATGGATGTCAGCACACCCCAGTGCCAAGGATGGCACAACGACCCCAGAGCAAGTTCCAGTGGAACAGCCCTGGGTCCCAGCATGTCCTAGTGCAGAAGGTGGGTACCCAACAACATCCAGTGCTGGGGCTGTGGATTCCAGCACATCCCATTGCTGAGGCTATGGATCCCAGCATGTCCCAGCACTGGGGCCACGGGTCCCAGCATGTCCCAGTGAGAACCCTGTGGGTCCCAGTACATTCCAGCCCCTCCCAGCACCGGGAGAGGGAAACGGTGACTCAGAGCTGCCGGGCTGGTGGGAGCGGGGTGCCCCTTTGCCCCGTGTGGGGTGAGTGCTGTGGCCACTGATCGCTCACGGCCACCGCCGGCTCCCCGGCAGCCGCAGCCCTGCCCTGAGCTCAGCCACGCTCCCCTCCCATCCTCTCCCCTTCCTGCGTGCGGACACCCTTGGAAAGGCTCTTGGCCGCTTTCTCTGAGACAGGAAGGTGTCCCCGAGTCTCAGGAAGGAAAAACACTCAGTGCTGAACCCACAAAGACCGTCTCTGAGGGGCCAGGGCTGGAGAGGCTCCAGGCCTGACATCACCTGGGAACTGGAACTAGAACGCAGCTGCACTCCGCGCCTGGTATTTTTTTCTTTTTTAACTTGTGTTTTTAAACTTTCTTTTTATAGATTTTTATTTTATTATTTTTTTTCCCCTTTCCCTTCTCCATTCCCCTCCCAAATATTTCAGCCTCCCCACAGGCTGGCCAGCCACGCTGGAATGCAGCAGGGCTGCACCCGCGGGTGCTGGGAGCTGCCTTGCTGCTGGGATGGATGAGGCTGGGTCTGGCCAGGCAGGAGCTGCTGGGCAGGGGCCAGGCTGGGGCTCACCCCCAGTGACAGGGGCAGGACCTGATAGCCCCTGGTACTGCTGGAAAGGGATCCATGGCCGTGCAGGGACACAGGAGGGTCAGTCTGGCCATGGGGTGTGGGAGGACAGAGGGCAGAGGGGTCAGGCAGAGCCTGCAGTCCGTGGGCAGTGCTGCTTTCCTGACCCACCGCCCCCAGGATGGGGCTGTGCAGTCAAACCCTGTCTGAGTCTGAGTCAGCGGAGCAAGAGGAGGCACACAGGGATAGAGGACACAAAGACGTATTCTGGGGCCAGGATCCAGCCCTACTCATTCCTTGTCCTCTGGCAACATCTTTGGGTGCTGCCTGACCTTCCCTGGGCTTCCCCCAGAGTGGAGTCTCACGATAAAGACCCCAGTGTATCCTAGAGCAAAGCTCAGTTGCTTGTTGCCTGGGGAATCCTCCCTGTGACAGTGACAGCCATCAACTGAGTGTCACAGGTCCCTTCGAGCCCTGTTGGACCTGGGGGTGAAGGACTGGGAAGGGACCCCTAAGGTCTAGATGGCACTGAGAGTGGACAGGGTGACACATCTCTGCTGCCCAGGGCAGGGCGGAGAGAAGGACCAGGGAGGGATGGGATGGGATGGGATGGGATGGGATGGGATGGGATGGGATGGGATGGGATGGGATGGGATGGGATGGGATGGGATGGGATGGGATGGGATGGGATGGGATGGGATGGGATGGGATGGGATGGGATGGGATGGGATGGGATGGGATGGGATGGGATGGGATGGGATGGGATGGGATGGGATGGGATGGGATGGGATGGGATGGGATGGGACGGGATGACCAAGGGGCAGCATGATGGCCCTCCAGGTGGGGGTGCTGGGTATTCCCTGCCTCCCCATGCCAGCAGACCCAGACTGTACTGACCCTCCAGCATCCTGCCAGGGTCCTTGGGGAATAAAAGGGCAAAGGGGCTGCCTGATACCCCCAAGACACCTGCCAGATCCTCACCATCACAAGGGATGCACAGCAAGAATGCCCCAAGGCCCCACATATCCCAGGGGTGCAGGGGGCACTGCTGCAGGGCTGCCACCACCCCCCCATGTCCCCACCATGCACTGGACCCCTCAGAGCTGCTCGCCCTGCTGGGACCCCGTGCCAGCTGCGGTCCCTGGGGACACGGGCCCCGCAGCAGGGACAGGGTGTGAGGCCGTGGCGCGGGGTGAACGCCAGGTTAATCTCCCGCTGGAGCTTCCCTCTGCAAACAATAAGACAATGCCCGGCCGGGGCCGCCTGCGTAACCAGCGGCGCGGAGGGGAAGTTGTAATATTTGGATTTAGCCCTCAGTAAATTAAGGAAGAAAAAGGAAAAAACGCTGGGGGTAATCAGAGCAGGGCTGGCCCCGTGCCCTGCCCCACAGCCAGCGGCCCTGGGGGCTCAGCTCAGCCTGTGGACTGCAGGTGAGCAGGGCCAGAGGCTCTGAGTCACAGAGGCTGGGCAGGGATGGGAGAGGGATACATCCCTGAAGGCCAGGCAGAGGACAAGCATGGGACAAGCATGTCCCCACCATGGGGACAGCAGCCTGGAGGGTCGAGGCTTGGATACCCAGCAGGGCTGTGGGCAAACATCTCCAGCCACATCAGAAAAAAGGGATCTGGGCCAGGAGGTTATTTTAATCCAAACCTCTTCATGGGAAATAAAATCCTATTTCTGCAGCTGGGGTAGCTGGGCAGGAGAGGGCCCAGGGGGTCGTCACCTTCAGCTGGCACAGGGTGGCTGGGGATGACAAGGGAGGGAGCTGTCCCAGGATGTCTCCATTGCACAGCCCCTTTCCCAGCACAAGCCCTGCAGTGGTGCTGGCTCCCTGGGATCCCAGGCAGAGCCCACACTCAATCAAACACGCACCCTGGCTGGAGATGGGGCTCTGAGAGGGGATGGGAAAAGGTCTCGCTGCAGATCCTCAGCGCAGGAACAGTGCTGCAGGGATGGCCTTAAACCCTCCAAAATGTGCCCTATCCACACACCAGCAGCCCCACACCCCCAGGGCTGCCCCTGCCTGCCCTGGCTCCAATGGGGTGAGCAGGGCAGGGATACCCAGGGGAGCTGGTTTTGGGGGGCAGGGCTGGACACCACCCTGCAGGATCTGAACTGGGCTATTGGGAGGGCTCCATCCCCCCTGTGCCCTGGGAAGACACTTCCCCTGCTTGGTGACCCAGGGCGGTGTGGGGCACGGGGCTGGCAGGAGGGCTGGGGCAGGTGGGGCAGAGGTGAGCAGCGGGCAGCAGCGGCACGGGAAGGCCTTCGGCACCGTGCCTCGCGCCGGGAGCCCATTTCCCCACAACAGGGGCCCTTATCAGCGGCAAATCCTCCGAGTGCTCCCAGGGGGGACCTCCAGCCCTTCCCCTCCACCTACCCCACCGCTCTCCCGCTCCGGCCCACGTCAATGCTGCCGCGAAGGTGTCGGAACAATCGCCTGACAAAGAGCTATTTTTAGGGGCCGGGGCTTGGAGCGAGGATACGGCCCGGCCGCTGACAATGGGGGGAAGGGGGCCGGGCTTCCCCCGTGACCACTCGGCAGCAGAAGGACCTGGAAGATTTCCTCGATGACCCAGGCCCGTACAATACAAGGAAAGCGCGAGAGGGAGATACCCCCGCCAGGACGAGCTGCTCCTTTACCTAATGGGAGTGACCCGGGGTGAGGGGCTGCGAGCTTTGGGCCAGCGGCCTCCCCTGGGGGAGACTCCCACACCGCGGGGGAAGTGGGGTGAAGTCTGGCCATGCTCAGCTTTCCATGAGGTCGAGGTGAGGGGAAAGCCAGGCTGGCTCCCTTCCAAAGGGCATGGGGAGATCTGGGGGGTCAGAGGGGTGCAGACATAGCCCAGCACGACCCCCTCCCCTCCAGGCTGGCTCAGCTCGGGCCAGAGCTTGGACATGGTGGGAGGACAATGACCAGAGCTGTGTCCCCAGCTAGCCCTGGCCCGAGTGTGCCATGAGCCCAGGCTCCTGCTCGTCCTCAGGCTGAACCTGGATGCCTTTTCTCCCACCTCGAGGTCTCCCGCAGCTCAGCCTGTGCCAGGTGGACCATTCGCTCTGGCCAGTCCTTTGGGGAAAAAGGGATGTTCTGGGCTGCACGGTAAGAAATTGGGCTAAAAAGGTGAAAGGCAGAGAGAGAAGGTCACGGGGCGCTGGACTAGGTCAAGGCTTGGCCTGGTTGCTGGCTCAGCAGAGGGATAAACCCGTTCCATGAACAGCGCCCGGGACCCACACACCGGGCGGGACGGCGGGACCCCACCGCTCTGCGGCGGCCCGGGTCTGGGAGGGCCGGGAAAGGGCTGATAGAAGGGCCAGAGAAGGGCTGAAGAACGGCAGGGATAAGGCTGTGCAAGGGCCAGGACAGGACCGGTACCGGGGCCGGTGGAGGGGCCGGGGCAGCGCCGGTACCGGGGCACCTCCGCAGGCCACAGTCGCCCCCTGGCGGCGGGCCCCGCACACAGCCCCACAGAGGGGCTGGGCCCACGCGGCCACAGCTGAGGGTCGGGCCTCCCGCCGGCGCTGCGGAGGCCGACACGGACCCCGCCACCGTCCCGCGGTTCACGGGGACACACCTGGACGCGGAGCGGGAACAAACCCGCGTCCTCCGCGCAGCGCCGCCACCCCCATGGACTACAACTCCCATAGCCCCCCGCGGCGAGCCCCACCCTTCCCTGCGCACGCCCCCGCGGCGCGTGGCGGGGCCGCGCGGTTTCCGTTTCCGGCGCGCCTCGCTCTGGTCCCTGCGGCGGCGGCCGAGCCTTGTGCCTCCGCCATATTGTCTGTGTGCGGCGGCGGCGGCGGCGGCAGTGGCCGCGCCAGGTACCGGCGGCTCCGGCGCCCCAGCGGGGCTCCGCGGCGGTGGCGGGCGGAGCGGGCGGCGGGGGGGAGGCGCCGCTGCGCCTTCCGAGTTCCTCCGCCCCCCCCCCCTCACCGTGGGCGCGGTGTGGGCCGGGGGGCCGCGGCTGCCCCTCAGGAGAGTGGGGCCGCGGCGGCGCTGACGGGGAGCGGGCAGAGCGGGCGGGTCCGCTGCGGCGGGAAGGGCACGGCCCGCCGCCTGCTGCCCTCGGAGGGGCTGCGAGTCCCCGGGGGAGCGGGCAGGGGCTGTGGAGGGGCCGCCCCGCTGCCCCTAGCCCGGTGCGAGGCCGCCCTCGGCCGCGCAGGAAGGGCAGAGCCCCGCGGAACGGGAGCGGCCCCTCCCCCAGCTCTCCCCGCTCGCACGTTCGGGCCGTGTAGGTGTTATTTACCTAAATTGCTCGGTCTTGCCTCTTCCCCGCCCTGCCCGGAGAAGCGGGGAGATGCGGAGGGGCTTGGAAAGGCCTGTTAGTGCTCGCTGCCACCCCCGGCTGCGCAGGGACTCCGTTCTGGGCCTTTCTGGGTGGAGGGGAAGGTCGTTCTCACGGCTTTCCGTACCAGCCTGTGCAAGCAGTAGTGGTCAGGCTTGCCCCCGCTGTAATTTAGTTAATTGTGCCTTGGGACCGAGAGCCGTGTGTCTGTTGGTAAAATGTGGTTTGTAAGAGAGGGGTCAGATAAGATTATGGAACCCCATGTGTGTCAGATCACTTAATTCTTTCTTACTGAGGGCTTCGGGTAAAACCAATAAAGTTTGGATTGTGAATATTCAAGCAAAGTGGAGGGGCAGGCACTGACCTGTGGTCTCCGGTGATCGGTTGCAGGACCTGGGGGAATGACATGGAGGTGTCTGCAGGTGGTTTGGGTTGGATATTAAGGAAAGGTTTTTCACCCAGAGATGGATGGAGACTGAAACAAGCTCCCCAGGGCCGTGGTAACGGCCCCAAGAGTTCAAGGAGCATTTGGACAAGGTGGGATTGCTGGGGTGTCCTGTGCAAGGCCAGGACTTGATGTTCTTTGTGGGTCACTTCCAGCCCTGGTACCCCTGAGAGGGGTCTCTCATGATTTGGATTTGTGTTGCTCAAACCTGCCCCTGGGCTGGGGCCTTGGGGAGCTGCTCTGGCACTGACCCTGGTGCCAGGCTGTGAACTGGGCACGTGTCCTTGGAGAGGGTTGTGCCATGTGCTCACCTGGCTCCTCATGGAAGCTCAGTCCTGGGTGCACTCCACAGATGGGCTGGGAAGAGCCCCTGCCAGAGGGAACTGGGCACAGTGGCAGCTGTTCAGAGGAAAGCAAGTGGACACCCAGCATTTCTGCTTGGGGCTGGGAGTGATTTCTTTGTTCTTTGAACACACTCTTTTTCTGAAACAGAATTGATCAAATTACTCAGACTCGGAGTTGGGGCTTGTGCCATCCTGCCAGCCAGCCTGGGTGTTGGATGTGAATCCAGCGTGGCTTTGGGTGCATCATCAGCTGGGACAGGAATCATTTGTGCTGTGGGTGCTGATTTGGAGTGATGTAGAAAAGGGCAAAGTTTGTGCTAGGAGAGGAGAGAGTGAGCTTGGCAAGGTGGGAGGCAAGATTTTGGGAAAGTGTGAAGCTTTGTCAATTCCTTAATTAGCCCTAAAACTAGGATTAGGGTTATTTCAGTTGCTACAGCACGGGTTCTGTGGAGACACACACCATGTCTGTAACTGGAAGATGGAAATTGGGATTGGGATGTCTGATCCCAGGTACAGGGCAGGCAGTGCTCTGCACTCAGGAGATCTGCCTGGGCCTTGTGGCTGGAATCCCTTTTCTCTTTGGATGACTCCAGAGAGGGAAGGTAAATTCTAATTGTAAAGGTCCAGACCTTTCCCTGAGCCCGAAGAATGTCCATCTCTGGTGGTGGGCAGTTATCCTTTCCTTTCATCTTGCCAATGGGGAGAAGTTGCCATTATTTCACCTTTCCCTATTGATTTATGTCAATACCTGGCAACATAATTTCTGCTGTTAGTGAAATTTGCTGTCGTCTTGTTCCCAGTGTGTGTGGTGGCTGAGTTGGGTGTACGTGTCCTGCACTCAGAACAGAGAGCTTGGCCAGTCAGCTGCTGCCTGTGGGGAGTTGAAACAGGGTTGAGGAAGGGAACATGGTCTTCTGCAGCAAAGAAACAAAAACTCATGCAGCTGAAGATCTGGGGATGAGGCACAGAGCGTGGACAATTGTGGTGAGAGGTAGATGTTGGAGGAGAAAGCAGACACTTCGAAGTGGGAGGGTCAGATCAGGTTTTTTTGGTTTGAAAGGGCTCATGGGTTCATAGATGGAGGGAAAATGAGGCTTGTTGGATGTTGGGAATATGGCTCTTTGAAAAAGTGATGTTAAAACTGGCAGTAGGTCCTGGCAAATGTGGAGGAGATTGGATCATGGAGTGCTGCGTGACATTAAGGTTGTTGAGGTTTGTGCAGGGGCAGTTACTGGTACTTGTTTGCTTGAAAAAAGCTGGTGAGATGCGAGAATGAAGATGCAAATCTGGGATTGGGAATTGACTTGGTAAATTACCATTTCCTGAAGGTGAGACATGGAAATATTTAGTGTTTGGTATTTGGGGCACTTTCAAGTAATGCAGATTAGGTTCATCAGCATGGAATGTGTTGGAAGTAGGAATCTTAGGGTATATAGGATGTTGAAAGGTGATTATAGGTTTGTGGAGTTGTAGAGAAAGAAACTTTCTGCTCTGATGAAAGAGACACATACCAAACTTTTCCCAATTTTATTAAATGGTGGGTGTCCTTACACTTCCATTTCAGTTCTTCTCCATTTTCTCCTTACAGAACTAATTTTCTCTTTGTCTTTTCTTATGTCCTCTGAGAAATAAGGGAAAGGAAGACAGGAGAAGCAAATGGGTGACATTGTGGTGGTGTGATTAATTTCGTGTCACATTTCTGAAGAGGCAGGGATTTATTTCTGGGTTACCAGACCTATCACCTCCACTGTTCCTCCATTATGGAACTGCTTACATTAAGATATCTGTTTTAGATGTCTGTGCATGGGATTGTTGCCACCTTAGATCTTACTGTCCCATAAGGGGCTTGAGAGAAAAAAAACCAAAAAAAAACCAAGAAGATTTTGAGATCAGGAGATACTGCCTTGACTTAGTCTGGCTACAAACATTTGTTGCAAGACAGCTCTTGGATAATTTTTCTAAACTTGGATATCTCCTTCCAGGGGCTTCCAAGAGCTGACTTCCCTGGAATTTACAGAATGTAATTGGAGAAAGGGAGTTCTCCTTTGAACCTGAAAAAACTGCTTGGAAGAGGAGGCTGCAGCTTTTTGAGCTGGTGTCAGTGCTGTTGCTGAATGTAAAGTGTTTTTTCAAGCTGGCTTTTGGCCCCTTTTTCCATCAAGGTGCCAAACTTACATATTGGTGGGAAAGATTGATGAGAAGTGTGATTGTTGATGTGGTCATGGGATCAGTGGTTCATGGATATTTTCTGGTTAGGAGTCCAGCAGAAAAGCAGCAACATGAGCCTGGCCCATGTCTCATCTGCTCCTGTTTTCACACCGTTCTGGACAAATGGTTTTATTACCCATTTCAAACTGCTGCTTTGAGAGGCTGAAGAGTAGAAGGGAAGCTTGGAGTTCTTTGAGGACTTGGTACCACCACAGACTCACATTTGGAAGGTTACAACTTCAATAAATTTAATTTTCCACGGAGTTGAGTTCTGAGATTTAGGTTATGTCCTCCTTACTGAGGTCTATTTTTTAATTAATACTACCACTTACAGGGAGGTGGTTTCTAAAGCAGGCTGTCCAGTTCCTGCCTATGTAATGGCTGCATCATATTACAGCAGTTTACTTCATGTGAGTGGTGAATAAATTGTGTCCTAGATGAAAAACAATTTTGAGTCAAGGCAAGAGTTTGGCTGCAGGTTTCCCACTGGATAGTCTGAAGTGTTAACAGCAGACCTAGAAAATTGAAGTTACTCACTCTGTTTTTGCAGAGAAGTAGGCTCTGCCCTTGCACCTTCTGGAAAAACCAAAGGCTAAATTAGTCCTCTTTTAATTAAGCCAAGTTCAGGGAGAATCCAGCATGCTAATACAGAATTACATGCCAGAACTTGCTTTCCCTGGGTGGGAAAGGTCTTCCTGTGGTGGGAAGAAGTGGCCCCAAATCCTCTTGTGTGTCCAGGGAGCCAAAAAGGTACCTCTCCCTGTCGTTACCAAAACCTTTGGAGAAGGCATTTTCTCAGAGCATATTTGCACATATGCGTGTGAGTTGTCAGAAAGTCTTTATTTTTAGTGTTCAGAAAATGGATGAGCGTGGACGCGCACAACAAATTAATTTCCAGTCTAGAAAATCAAGAGCTCCTGCAGTGTTCCTTCTCTTGCAGCCTTTTTCACAGGTTTCTCTATCTGTTACCAGTGTGCTGTTGAGTTCCAGCCTTTCTTCCACGCTTGGTTGTACTCCAGAAGGAAAAAGAGGGCTTTTTGCTCATTCTGCAGCATCTAGATTAATTTCAACTGACCTTACAAATTAAGTTACGAGTTTTGGCACAATGGCTTTACTGGGGGCTTAGAAGGTGTGAAGGAGAGTGCCAATTGCTGGAGTTTAATAGCTGAGGGTTTTTTCCATTTGATTCTTGGAATGGTGGTAGCTAGTTTCATCTTGTGTTAATAATGATAAATTTTTTGAGAATTATGTCAGAACTTCACTTGCTGGCAGGGGTTTGCACCGGGTGCCTCTTGCAGAGCCTGCTCAGTGCTGGCTGAGGGTTGGAGGTGGTTTGTGGTGCATTGCCTGCTCCATGGAACAGCTGATCACAGGGATTTCTTGAAGAAATGGTTACAGGCAGTGTCCTCTGGTTTATCCTTTCACTCTGGTAATTGTTCTTGCCTCTAGGAATTGCATGATCAGATCAATTAAAACTCTATAACTTCTACAGATGGTTGGTACAGGTCAATTTTCTGAGTTCTGCCTAAATCCCTCTCT